GCTGTCTATCTGCCGTCACTCACGAGAGCTTCTGCCGCGTTACGAGGCGACCCCTCCTGTGCTCTTCCTCCCTTAAAATAGGGTGTTTACACCTAATCGTATTTCAAGGGTCCAATTTATTAAAAAAACACCGTCCAACTTGACGAGCCGTTCTAATACTGACTTTTCTTTAATGTGTTTTGAACGCGTCAAAGTTCAAACCAACTTCGCGGAAATCTCAAATACATAATCAGTTACTTTAAAACAATCTCGTCGCCTCGGCGAAGTCGTAACATCCTACATTATTTTTCTGTTCGTTTTCTTGATAAAAGCGTTCGTTGTAATCCAATTTGTTCGAAAGGATTAACAGGTAATCTGGACTTATCGAGTAACCTGAACCGCACGAGTTCACGAGCTTCAGAGGCTTATTAAATTATTGGATACATTCTCAGGTCACACAAATTTATCAAAGCACTCAAACGCGACTATCACAAAGCTTACAAAATTTAAAATTCAATATTTTGTATACGCGGATATCGCAATAAATCACTAGTGTATAAATTTGTTAATTAAATTGTTAGACAAAAGTTTGTGTCCAGAACAAGAATGCATCACACTGAAAATTGTTTTAAAATTTTCAATTCGTTTTAAAAACTTTTTGAATTTATCAATTAAAAGATGAGTAATTTGATATTTTTTTCTTAAAAAATTATTTTCTTAAAAAATTATACGCTATTCAAAGTACGTTCCCGATATTTTGACAGTTAAAATAAAATTTTTTTAAAACTACGTCGCTCTAAAGTCACGTCCCAGAGTCTACATCCCAGAGAGATGATAAAGCAATTGAGCACAGATCTTTTAGCGAAAATCGAGTTTACGCAAGCAAGGATCCTCGGCTTTGCGATGCAGCGACGAAATCGCGGGGTAAAAGAGATCGCGATTGGCAGAACCGAGCGGGAGGGTTGACCTAATAATGGATTATTGCGCCTCCGTTGCTGAAAGGAACGAGCCATCGGCATCGTCGCAGGAAGAATGGAAAGAGCAACGACAAAGTAGACGTCGGAGGAACCAAAGTCTCAATGCGGCACGTTGCAGAATCGTCCGCGAAAGAATTTCATCCCCGTCGCTGGTCCCCTCCTTCCCTCCTTCGCTCCTCGAGAACCCTCCTTGTGGATGCGGCAGCTTTTACAGCGTCGGTGGGCACCACTACCATCACCGTCGCCGACGCTACCACCTTCTACTCTTCTTCGTTCTCATCCTCTTCCGCCTCCGCCATCCCCTTACGCTGTCCCCCTCCGTTCCTCGCAGGAGGAACATGGCTCCCAGGCAGGAGATCCGTCCGTCCACACCCTCGCTCCCGAACAACCCCCGCGGCCCGGCGTTTTCTCCGAACTACCCCCGCCTACCCCCGGACACCTCCCATCCCCCTCGCTCCTTTCCTCCCTCCCTCGGCGTCAGTTCCCCCCGTTGCATTTTAAATCAAAGCCTCGGAGGTAACGCAATCACCAGGCATCACGACGCTTCCACAATTTTCTACTTTAAGCTACTTTATGTATTAGTACCCCCGCCGTGTCTCTCCCCGCTTCCCCCTCTTCCCAACCCCCCCGTCTCGCTATCTCGACGGCACGCAGCCCGCTCCCCCGCTACGACAGTGCTCGTCACACCCTCCCCAGCGTTTCGCAGCGTTGCTCTTCTGTCTCGGATCCTCTCGCGCCCTCTCCCATTTCGTCATCCCGGCTACCGCCACCCATCTCCTTCTCCCTTCTCTAGCACGGGCTGGTAACAAAGTTATTTTATTAAACGAACCTCCGCACCGCCCGTTCGCCAACGTCGCCGGAATTCGAGACGCGCAGCAGCTCGTCTAACCGCGAACGAGAAACACCGTCGTCCTTGCAAACAAAATGGGAATGGGAGAAAGCGTTGCTTCGCAGGGTGTTAAGCATCCTGGATACTAAATAAGGTTGCAAAGAGAAAAGATAGGAGAGCAAAAAATCAATTTACCGAATCACTCGGCGTGCTTTTCAGACTGTTACGTGGACTATTTAAATAATGTGTGTAATTGCAAACAAAAAACTTAGTTAAGAAGAATACGAAAATTTATTCATTAATATTCATTCATTCATTTTAAAAGATTTTGCGACAGATCTGCGAAGAGAATTTTTCCAGAAAAAAACATCTCCAATTCGTTTACTTTTAAATAAATTTGTCGTATGCATTATTCGTCTTTATTTATTTGTACCTCTATCTGAACGACGGAATTACATTGAAAACTACTTATTGTTTCAATAATTCTATCTTCAAGTCTAAAATTCGCGCGTAATATTACGACATTTTGGAAGAAAAATTGACTGTCAAATTCGTCAAAAGGTACCATAGTGAAAATTTAACGGAATATAGAAGCGGTGCTCTCTCTGTGTAAAAAAATTCGCGAGAATAGAATTTATTTCTCACCTAAACGAATAACATGAATTTTTTTTTTACCCGTCACCGGTTTTTCCCTTTTTCCCTTTTACAAGTCGCATCATTCCCTTCTCCGCAGAGTTTCTAGCCACGGTTCCAGCCGCGTGAAACGACGGAAACTCGCTTAATGCGTTTCGTGCGGAAACGCGCGATAGTCTCTTCATAGTCGGGTGAAAAAATGCGGCTGTCTAGCCGCGATAAACGAGAAATGTTAACCGAGAGGATATTTTTAGTATTCCCTCTTTTTTCCTATATTAAATCGACTGGGCACCTTCAGATGATGTCCCGGGATGGTTACTTATAATACTGGGGGTTGTACGTGTGTGTTCGCGGTATGCAGTTCGCAAACGTGGCGCGGTGTAATCCAGTCACCACGTAACGCGATTACACTCCTAACTCGTCCTCTCGTTTTGTCTCTCTCTTTTTCTCTCTCTCAGTTTCTCTCTCTCCCCTTCGCTTTTTCAGAATCCCCGTTTTCCCTTCTTCTCACTCGTACTTTCATCTTCTGTTGCTCTCGTGGCTAAAACTCGATCATTCTTGGAGACCAAATAGAGCGCGGATCAAATATAGTTATGTGATATTAATAACAATTTAGAGGAAATCTATAGTATATCTACACAGGTATCGTTATTTTTCACCGAATAGTGAATACTGTTTTATCACTGCCATTATATAATGTGACAATGACAAAATATATAATAATAATTTGAAATTAGCGTTGAAAAACTTGACTAATAAATTATATTTATATCAATTATTTATAAATATTATATATATATATATATATATATATATATATATATATATATATGTGTGTATTTATTTATTTGTATTAATTATATTAGTTAAAGCTTAAAGATTACGGGCACGGCTGCTTAAAAACAGATTTAACCTTAATGGAAAATTACGATAAATTTCTCCTTCACAGATAGAGAAACGATCTTTTTCTAGAAAAAATATAAAGATAATAAAATATGAAATGATCTTAACTCTAAAATGATTTATATTCGTCTGCGATTAAAAAATTAAAATATATTGAACATAACGAAATATGTATATTATTTATTATTATATTATTATATATTTTATATATATAATAATTTATATATATAATAATTTTTTATTATTATATATTATATATTATATATTTTTTTAGAAAAAGATTGTTCTGCTACTTATGATGGAAAAATTTATCATAATTCTCCATTAGCGTTAAATCAGTTTTTAAGCAGTCATTCTTGTAATCTTTAAGCTTTAACTACTGAACTAATTAATTATATAATATCATTCTTCCAAACTGTAAACTTAAAATTATGTACCGCATACGTGAAATGAAATGTTTCGGATCGAGAAGGAATAAAAAAAGCGAACTACTTTTTAGATACTTTTTTAGCTCGAAAAAAGACAATGGTATTCATTCGAAAAATGTAAATAACATCAGAAAGCCGATAATTATTATCGGTGCTTGCAGCGATTTGCCACTAAGTGACAATCTTCATAAATTATCGAATCCTCTGAAAGCTCTGGAAAAGCGAGCTGTCAGTAAAAAAAAATACAATAACGCGCGCTGATATCGAAACTAATGAAAAGGCGAAAAAGAAGAACATGAGCAGCATATCAAACTGGCAAGCTAGCTGTATAAACAAACTGAAATTACATCACTCTATGTGCATCGTCTACATAAAATAAATCATATAATAATCAGACATTGGCCGGTTAGATTTATAAGCTATTAATCACGCGATATTTCCTAAAAAATTTTTATCAATATTCTAATATCATATCTAATGGTATATAAAATAAAATTTCCGCGATATTTCAAAAATTATATTTTTCCTCTTGAAAAAATCTGAAAATAAAAATTTGATGGTAAAATTCGAAAATAAAAATAAATCTATCGCTCTTACTTTATCTGTAACGTTAAGTTTCACGTGGCGGAGTTTGCGGGCGCAAAAGGAGTCGTCCCGAGCCTAAAATCCGTGCTCCTTGCATTTTGATTTCGCGGCGTGTTAAAGGACGCCGTCGAGGGGACGGCGATGCTCGCGAAGGACTCGCGGATGCGCGGAGGACGAGAAGAGAAGGGGAGGAAAGGGGTAAACGCGATTTACACCATGACGACTATCGTCTCTCTCTCTCTCTCTCTCCCCTGGTGCAAAGTGCCTACGTGCGGCCGCGAAAGGACGCGAGGAAGGGGGGAAGGGCGAGTTGTTACGACACACCGGGAGAGACAGGGGATTCCGCTCGCGCGCGCGATGCGGGGCCAGCGGAAGGAAAGCAGGGGATGTTTGTCGTACGCGTTATTTGGCCAATAAAACCACGTGGCGGAGCACCCCCGCGTCGCCGTGCGCGGATAGATCGTCGTCGGGGAGAGAGCGAGCTAGCCGCGGGGCGCGTACGCGGGGAGAAGGAGAGGAAGCGGAAAACGTACACGCGAGAGAGAAGGGTAGAGGACGTAGGCCACGCCTCGCTACACGCATTACGCACGCGCGGTTCCGCCTATCGCCGAGCACGCTTCCCGTCGCGACGGAACGACGGCCACCGTCCGCGATTCCGCCGCGGCCGCGACACGTCGTCGTACGCGACACACTATCGGTTTGGAGGCCCTGTCGGCTCGCGTGTCCGTATATTCGGAGTAGACAGAAATAGACGGATAGATAAAAGAGGAGATAGAGAGGAGAAAAGAGAGAGGAGTCCCCGGCCCGCAGACCGCTGTGCTCGCCTCGCACGAGAAACGTCAAGATCATGTGTGAAGCCGCTTGTTCTATTTGACGTTTCGACTTTCGGAATTTGAGTTTGGACTCGAGCTTCAACCGCGTGGACGAACCGCTGACGTTCCGAGGAGGATTTCTTGGGAATTCAAGCCTTTGTATTAACCGTAGGAATCGATCGGAGGACTGGTCCTGGCACGTCATATGATGTCAAACTCATTGAGAAATTTCACTGTTTCTCTTTGATGCGAAAGTGCTACTCGAAGAAAGAACGTATCCTAAGTGTCTGATTATTATCGCACCTCTAACATTGCATTTGAAATTCGTGCGATTGTTTGAACATCCGTCGCGCGACAGTTTTCTCTGTCAACTGGTTGACAGCGATCAGTTGGAGCAGCGTGATCTCTAATTTAGTTGGATGTTAAATTCCAATTCGCGTGTGATTGTCGATTGACATAAAACGGAAATTCTTGACTGTTACTCCGAAAAGATCAGCGTACTTTGCACGCGACGGATCGCTTCATTTTGAGCTTCAGAATTCATCGACGTCAATAGTCCTTGTGTATTTCATGACACGCGCATGCAATCGCTTTGGATTGACAAGATTATGCTAAACTCGCTCTTCTCGTTATTGAAAGCCGATTATTGATCGCGCGGAATCGCTAAATTCCACGACACGCTCGAGCTCCATCGGATTAACGTGATAGTCTGCAAGTCGAATTTGAAGAACCGGAACGACATTTCGGCAACACGCATGCGGAGTTGAGGACAAAGTTAGAAGCAACGGTTTACGAGGTCGAGAAAGTGTGGCGGGAAGTGTGGCAGGATCGACATCATCGATCGGAGATCGAGCAAGAGCCCCCAGGAACGTCCGTCGATCGGTTATTCCCGAAGAGAAGGAGTCCGCGGCAGTGCGGAGGAGATCGGGAAGGTGTTGTTCAGCCACGAGTCCAGGATTCTCACCCCCGGAGGCGGTACCATCTCGCCGGGGGGCGCGGGGCCGCCCGCGAGCCCATCGCCGGGACATTATCATCCCCCTGCGCACAGTCCGCCCCTGGTCAAGGTAAGCTGATCATGCTTGTTTTAATTGCAGATGTGTTTTTTTTCCTAAATATGTACCTCGATTTTTCAACCAAGCTCATCTTTCGATACGCAAAACACATTGGGACAAATACACAAAGTCGATAAAAGAAATTATATATATACATAAATAATTAATATTATTATTAATTTATTGCCAATTAATTATCTTTATATATAATGTTAATTTATGATTAATTTATTATCAATTTATTATTAATTTATTATTAATGTATTACTACGTTATAATGAAACAGATATTTTGACTTAATAATTATAATTAAATCGGTAGGCAATATCTACTTTTTCTATCGATGGCTAATGTGGGATCAATAATTATTCTTACAATAACAATTTGCAGCTTTTTGTCCAAAAATTCTGCTATAAACAGGGAGTTCAGCTATGATTTTATGACAAATAAAAATGTTATAATTTAATATTCTTTCAATTTAATAATTTTTTATGATAAAATAATATAACGAACATTTGTTTGATATAAGAGTTCATACCCTTTATATATATTTTATTTGTATATACCAAATATGCATTGTTTAACTTCTCAGCTCTTTGAATAAATAATGAATACTTTAAATAAATAAATGAAACACGAGTGCTATCAGCGTGCTGTCAGCGTGACAGATAACGAAGAGATTGAAACAATTGAATAATTATAGTATGATTACAAGCAAGAGCACTATTTTATCTGTAACTAATACATTTCGGACGTCCGGCTTTTGAAGCAATATACATATTTTAACTCCCGTCCAGAGATACATCGGTAAAATTTTTAATAAATGTCATTCAATAAATGTAACAATGAGAAATGTACAGAGACATATTGAAAAATCTATTAAAACTGTGAAAAAGAATTTTAATCTAGAAAGAAAAAAATACAAATATATATAATTCATTCATTTATTCAAATAATAAATAATTATTTTAAATAAATAATTGAATTTAATTAAATATTTCAATATTAAACACACATCATTTATTTTAATGCAACATCACATATGCTCGTTATTATATTTTATGATATTTACTAATGTCTTATGATGTAATCGCGCTGAGAAATTATTAATTTGATATACGCTCGTAGCTTAAATTTGATCACTATTTCAAACTCGATCGGAATTATGCTGTCACACTTAAGTGGTATACTAGGGTAGAGCGGATGAATATAATGAGTATCATAAAATGCATTTATGCACTCGTCACGTTAAATAATGGAAATAAATGATATCGAAAGATTTTTTATTCTCCTTGTTTTACTTAAAAATTATCTTTCGTTGTTGATGTATTTTTCATATCGTTAATTTACATATTATATTTTGTGATAACCTTTTAATTGTATAATGAGATTTATTTTCAATAAAAAATTTTATTATTATTATCTCAAATCTATATGCAGAGGATCCACATTACATTCAACGATTGTTACATGGAGGGATGAGGAAATATATTAAAAATGATTTTCGATTATCGTCACAAATTATTTTAAAATTAACTACTAACTGTCGTATGCGAACTAGTACATGACGTAATAATAACTGTAGTAATAAAGCTTTGAGTAGAAAATTGGTGCGATTTGGGTCCTGTTCTATTTTCCATAAATAATTCGCAATGCAATTAACTTATATGCGCCAACACATTGGGCCAGTATAAAGAAATTATATATTGAAAATGAGAAATATGTAATAGAAAATATTATATGTGGAAAATAAAAGTATCAGTAATAATAATAAGTTTTTATTGATTTATTTTATAAATGAAGAAAAAGATATATCTACTATTTTTGATTGCAATATTGTTTTAAAGGGAGCTTACAAGTTTTTCTTAAGAGTTTATTAAAAAAACGGTGAAAATTATTTAAAAGATATGCAAGTATAAATAAAATGCAACGTTAAACAGATTATTTTGATATTTGGCAACAAAGTTAATCTAGTTTTTGGCTGAATTAAAACATATTGGCGGCATCATTTTGTTGAAAGAATTTCAATTGTCATAACATCTACCGATATCACTTTTATTTATTTGACGACAATAATATTATCTACAAAATCCCATAATCTGTATTGAATATTATGTGTGTTAGATATTTAAATAATATATTGTCGTGGTGGAAATTCTTGTCAACGATCATGTTATATAATCCAACGATACATGACTATTATGGCATTAGACCTGGGTAACCGATAATTCCGTTTTAGGTTCAAACTTGACTTTGCAATAATAGGATTAGAATTTGCGACGCGTTCGGGTGACCGTCTATTCTAAGTGTGCTATCCATCCACGCTACCATGCAAACCGATAACGACATCACATTTAATCGATTGCTCGAATTATATGATAATTAATATGGCAGTTATATGAAAATGAATATAACATGTAGTTATGAAATTAATCACAATCTATGTCAATTATTAATTATTGTATTTTAACATTGTATATCCATTATGTTTTAGCAATTTTTACTTAATATATAGAATACGTTTCACTTATTAATATTCTTTGAATGATATCTTCGATTTTCTTCCAATTTAAAATTAAACAAAATTTTTTTAATAATAATACTTTACTCGGCGAATAAATATATAATAATTATCTAAAGGTGTATCTTATCTAATCAGCGAAAAAATGTAATTACTTAAAGATATCTCTTATCTAGTCAATCACTATATCATTTTCCACCCAATGTTCGTTAAGTGAAAAATTCAGCGGCAAAGTGATATAAATCATATAAGTTAAATTGTCATATTTATACTGTATTTACGCGTGAAATAATAATAAATATAATGTCTTAAAATGTAAGAAAAAACTGGGGCTTACGTCATTTGTAACCCTTTAAATCCATCTAAACGAAATATCAACTTTCATTCAGCCGAACGGCATTCCGGTTCTCTTCTTGATTTTATCGGCGAGTTTCATTCCTCCGTTATCCGACATGTGTCCCGGATTCTCCCTCTTCGCGTTACTTCCGGAATCAAGCGCGATCCCGGAATTTGACGCGACAAGCGCAATACGATATCGTCCTCGGGAAAGCGGTTGCTCTTTATGGTCACGTAATAACTGCGTGGGACTGTCACCGAGCGGGGATGATGGGAGACGAGGCGGTTTCGCAAACCGTGAGGGAGGGAAGGGGAGAGACCGGGGATAAAGAGACTGGGACGGCCGGTGAGGATGGACGAAGAAAAAGAGGCCGACGATGATGATGGGTATAAGGGCGGCTGTCCGAGCTTGTTTTCGTCGCAGAAGCAGCTGCGAATCCCTCCGGGGACCGCGCAGCCAACTGTCTACGGACTTGCCGTTGAGGAAGCTCCGGTAGAAACTTTACGTCGAACGATTGCTGCCGGTGCGTTTTACAATATCATTTCTCAGAGTTGATGAAAAAAACGCGGATAAGTTAGAGAGCAGATCGAGTCTATAATTTTTTTTAACACGAAGACCCACCAGCAGATACACGATTGTATTTAAAACATCTTACAAGTCGTGGACTCGATGCATTCTATCAAATGTTAAAATTGTGACATTTAAAAAATGAACATTATTATTGTGGATGATGAACTTGAGTATTATGTTAAGATTAGCTGCTGCTTTTGCGACACATCGACTCGAGATGCGCGCAGCCCTAACGTCCGATATAGAGAATTGTCAGCCCAGAATGTGAGAAGGGAGAAGGGCCGTGAGGCCCTGCGAGGATGCTCGCACACGCGCCCCACACTTTCGCTCTGATTAAGCTTAATTCATTCCGCCAACGAGAAGCGGCAGAAGACGTTGACGCTAAACTGCTCCAAGAGCGTCGGCTCGCGCTGTCTGCCGTCCAATCCTGCCAACTTAACCTCATTAATAAATTAATTAGATATTATTGTGTTGGCAGTCAGGGCGGCAGCTGCGGGTACGCTCTCCTCGTTCCTCGCGTTCTCGCTCTTTCTATCCTTCTGTCTCTTTTCCCCTTCATCATCTCGCTCTCTATCCCCCGCAGACTCTCGCGTCCAGGCAGGAAAGAGAGGGTGAGAGAGTCAGAGGGTCATCCGTGACGTCACTTCTTACGATGACAAAATGTGTATTATAACCGCTCGCTTGCTACCCGCACATTTTTTCTCGACCCGGTATTTTTAAGCGACCGATCAACGATTATGATGACTCTCCTCTGGTTCTGATAGGCATTAATAAGCTCCGTAAACAGAGATTTTTATCTTCGATTTCGGCGAATCTGACAAATCATCCCGAACTCCCTCAGATTCTAATTTTAGAACCGAATTTTAATGCTCGAAGCGTTCTATTACAGTGATGATAATAATTGGAAAGATGCGATAAGTAATACGATATTTTAATTAAGGATGTTTATCTGCAAAATTGTCGAGAACGAGAGACAATTGAAAAAATATAAAACCTAAAATGCATTTCTGGGAGAGATAAACGTATATACCCCTAATAGATATTTAATTTCGCAAGGATAATTTTTAAAAATGTACGTAAAATCTTATCACGAATTTTATTCGATCAAATATAATCGCACGGAAATAAAACTTTAAGATCTCCCGACGCGCGAACATCATCTTGCACGCAGTTTCAGCGCGCTATCCAAGGAGCCACGTAGTCGCGGCGCTCATTACGGGATAGCCATGGCTCTGGCACTGGTAATGACAAAAAGCACACGCAGCATTATCATTGCGGAGTGTATGGCATTAAGCTGTAGGGGGCCAGGATTAGGATGTCGGCCATTACCGCGCGTCACTGACCGTTTATTCTACGCCGTACACGGTGCGGTGACTTCCTCTAGACGCGCGTATATATGCCTACCATAACCGGAGGATGAGGAGGACGCTCGCGAGGCCAGCCGACCGGGTCGTGCATTCTCCGTATGCGTGATTCACCTTTCGATATCAATGTCAATTTAACTTAATTGATTGTCTCTATTTCCGCTGCGATACGAGAAAAAATAATTGTCACCCTCTCTCTCTCTCTCTCTCTCTTTCTTGG